GGTACTCGCAGGAGAAAGAAAAGCAACTCAAGGTGCAGCATAAGAGCAGTAGAGGAGGAAGTCCATGAGAACGAACAGAGTCCCCAAGTTTAAGAAATTTTTTGGCCCCCCACCTCCCGGGTGAATTAGACAAGATGCCCATTCTGCAGAACATGTCACTCCCCAGCAGGATCACGCCCCATCGTGCTCAGAGCCACGCTGCTGCCATGTACGTCTGGCTACAGGGTCTTAGTATAAAAAAACAGGTACTCGCAGGAGAAAGAAAAGCAACTCAAACACAAAAGGATCAGAAGCAGAATCGCTGCACGCGTTCACAGGTTCCATTCTGAGCCGTTCCATTTGGGAATCCTGAATTCCACCCACCTACCCTTCCTGGGCACGCTGCACGGATGTGCCGCCCGCGGCGCGCCGAGGGCCTGACCCATTCATGTCGATGGGAACACACCAGACCTGTGCACGCTACGAAAATCACAGCATAAAACGGGGGATGAAAGTGATTTGTAACAAACAGGGTTGGAGAACCCACCACAAGTCATGTCCCAAACTCATGGCTCAGAACTGCAATTGTTCAACACTCGTTAGTTGGCTTGTAATAAATTTAGAGATTTAGGAATTAAGTGGTTCCTGGTTCTGGTCTTCCCGAGCCATGAAACCAAAAAACCAAACACTCAATTCAAAAAACCCAACCTATTATCACGTAACGTTCTCACCAAACCTATTATCACACAGACTACAAGCTGAAACGTTATAAACCCATCCTGCTTGGAGCAGGCAACGAATTTGCAACAGCTGGCAGGAACAGCAGCATTTGCTGAGGGCAACTGCCAGGTTTTCACACCATTTCCTAGTTTTCAACTTAATGTTGACGAGACTTAAACATTGCATAGTTTTCTTTACTGTTTTTACATTTTGAGTAAAGATATTGTGGTTGCCTTTATTTTATTAGACCAGTAACAACCTTTAATAACACCTATTTATTATTATTCCCCATAAGGAAACAAAAGACAGGCATCTCAGTCCTCTCAACAGCAGAATTTCAAAAGCTGCTTAAAACATTTTCACCTCATCTCAGTAAAACCAAACACGATTCACGAAAAGTTTTATCCCATACAGTCATGGTTCTGGCATTTAAAATGCTATTTTTAGCACAGCAAGGTATAATCCCTTCCTGAGATGCAAATATAGGAATTCTTATGGAAATATGAAAGCAGCAGAGAGATGAATGCTGAGATCAGAGTATCCCATACTCTTCGTGAAATAATATTTATGTAGCACTAACAATGCAGTACAGTATCTCTGACAAAAACATGCTTATTCTTTCTCCATAATCCAGTATCATTTCGGGGAAGGGAGAAATCCAGCAAACCACTGAATGGGAAGGTACAATTCAAAATCTTATTCTTGTACTGTGTAAAGGTCCTTCCCATTAAAGAAGGTAGTGAAATTTTATCACAGCTATTGCTATTCATAAATCTTATATCTATTTTAATTCAATCTGGTTCTAGCCTCTGAGATGCTGCACCACAATCTGATTACTACAACCATACTTTTTAACTGCTGTCAGAAGAGACAGTGCCTTATACAAACATCTGCCAGAACACATGCCTGCTTTCTATAGCACCAGCTTTAAATCACATCATGGTGATGAATCTTTATCTGACGCTAATACTTTTTAACTTCATAAGGACAATTAAAATGAATTGTAGCTAAATGCACACATAACAAATCAATGTAATTCTTTGTTACATGGTAGCATACTTTGCAGGTCTTCAAAACTTACTTTCAAGTATCATCTTATTCAGAGTTTAAGTGTGACAGAAGTGTGGCAGTATTGATAAACCATTCCCGACACGGGCACACCAGAGCAGAGGGTTTCACAGAACAATGAAGTCCTTTGGAAAGTACTATCCAAACAGGACTGCTGTCTCATTCCAGTGGGCTCAAAGACTGCAACTAGCCACGAACAAAACCAGATGCCATCTCAAAACAGCACCCTGGAATGCCGTCTAGTAAGGGCACCTACAGTCAACAGCAACAAAAGACACAAGTGAGCACAGAAAAGGGAGAAGTGAATTGAATGTGCCCTCAAGCCAAAGTTAATCAAGCCACATCCACATTAATTTAATCTGCATAAGGCCAGAAAAATATTTTTTAATGCACGTGAGATGCCTGGAACTGAGAGATAAAATTCGAGCCCCCAAACAGGGACAACAGTGCAACGCTGACATTCAGCCGCCTTATCTGCTACCCCAGGCTGGAGCCCGGGCTGGAAGGGTGGCACGGCACTGTGGCATTGTTTTCCCAGAGTACCAGGGCCACCACGTGCCTGGGAGAACGGCCCACAGCAGACGGCGCCGTCCACGCACGGCCGTGCCCCGCTGCAAGGAGGGCTCTTCCAGAGACTCTTCCCACCGCAGGATTCACAGCAGCTTTGTCTGTGCTTCCAGCTACCCAGAGTAAGTGCTCAGCCACCACCACGAGGTGCTTCCTTATCTCGGCTTTTCTGCATGAAATAAAAAACCACTTTCTCAAGTATTTTAAATCAAGCATCAGCCAAGCTGAGTGCATCGCAATCACTGCGCGCAAGCCGCCGCCTGTTGCGTGCCGACCTCCGCTCGGTGTTTAACTGCTCCCTCTGCGTGGGGCTTCCCTCTGTCCAGCACACCCCGCGGAACCTGCGGGGGCAGAGGGAACAGTGCAGCGCACGGATGAGGCAGCGGAGTCACCACAGCTTCGACGCGGCCCAGAGCGAACCGGGCGCTCTGAACATGGGGGTTTATCTGAACACAACTCAGCTACTCGTGTTAGTCATGTCTTAGGAAAGGAAAATTCTTTTGGGAAGCAGTACTTTTTCAGTTAATCGTCATTACTGGACTCGCCCTCAGAGCACCTGCTGCCACACGAGAGAGCTCCGAACCCCCCAACATCAGCAACGCCCATCGCCAGCGCCGGGGGAGCCTCGGCGTTACGGGAGACTCTCTCCCGGGTTCTCCCGGCGGGATGAGAACTTCTACAGGGAGCTGTCGGACACCAAAGGGAAAGCGTGACACCACGACATGTTTCTGGCCCTTATTTTAGGTGTCTGAAGAACTGCAGCGCAGATTTTGAACAGGGTTGAGCACGAAGCAGCCGCCTGTGTGCCTGAAAACCTGTTCCGAGGCCGTTCGTTCCCCGGCACCCGTTCTCGTACGCTGTCCTCCGCTGCAAACCCCCGGCACGGGCGGCGCGCTGACCACGCCGGAACGCCGGCACAGCCACGAGCGCAGGGACCGGTGCGGCACTGAGGGCCAAAGGCCTGGAGTGGAGCTTCCCCAGAGCCACCAGCCAGGAACACGCCGCTGCTCCCAGCGCCAGTCACGCTGGCAGAGCCACCATCTGCCCTCCAAAGCCCACGCGTCGCCTGGCAGAGGTGGCTCTCCAGCAAAACAAAATACAAACTGAATGCAAACAAAAGCCAAGGGAGAGGACCGTTTCCATTCCAGCAAAGCAGAAATAACTTTCTACCAGGGCCAGGTAGGTCCGTGCCAGCCAAGAACACGGAGCAGCCGGTCTGAGCGGCGCGGGGGCCGCAGGAGGGGCTCGGCGCCGGTGGCACTGCCCAGCACCGTGCTGCTTTGGCGCCGGGTTGGCTTTAGGTGCAACTACAGCAGGAGGTTTCCCAGCGTAAATACTGACCCTGCATTCTTATAAACATTATATTAACATATATAAATGTTTATATGTTATCATTTATGTTATTTCAACTATTTTAGTAGAGTGCAGGTTGTATGTAAACCAGTAGAACTGGCAGAATAAGCAAATGCTTTAAAAAAAAAACCTATGCAAACTAATTTAGGATTCAGATGAGGATCACTCTACTCAGCTTAAGGGCAAAACACTTAAATAATAAAAATGCATTTTTCACTCTAAGATTTTAATCCTGGATTAATTATTTTAGACATTTTCCATATTAATTATAGCAGTATTGCTTCTTTCTTAAGTTCTTTATCTACTTTCTTTGAGTAAAGCTATTTAATACTGGAGATTGTGGAAAACATTTGTTCATGATTATCCAGACATACAGTCAAACAAAACTGAAACAAGAGCAGCATGCAAAAATGTATTTAAGGACTATCATCCCAAAATGCTGCTAAAAGCTATTAACCAGTACGTGTTAATTGCCACAGCATTCATATTAATTTTCACTTCAGGCCCGACATTGTGGAATATTTCCCTTGATACATTTTAAACAAAGTTTAATTTAAGGAACTGCTTCTATCAACACTTATGAAAATTAACAGCCAAGCAATTAGCACTCATGAATTATCCCTTCCCCCATGCTTTCTACAGCATCATTTTTAAAACAGTTGCTACAAGAGAAATTGTTGGGTTTTAACCCATCACCAAAATTAGCCACAAGAAACCCTGTAACACTATTCCTCGCAACAGGATTTTTAGCATCTGTCCAGCCAAAAATCATGTTGACCTGTTTTTATTTAAATTATCTCCAGTAGTCAAGTAAATCCGCAAAGCTCCTACCGGGTCAGAAAAGCCAGACTTCCCGAAATCTTCAACTACTAGTCACGAGAACAGAAATAAAAATACCTCAAGAAAACTCTGGTCTGCATGCAGGAAAGGGTTTTGGCTTTGTAACTCAAGTTTACTCTAGAGCCGAGTGGTCCCCTCCTTACGCTTGGATCGTGGTTTTCCAAGTTGCTTCTTTGACTCTTCTGCATCTCGTTAGCATCTCTTCTTCGACTGCCCTGTAACTCTTCTGTGTTTGCTAACGTTCTTCTGGGCATGCAGGAGCAGCCGTTTGGTGGCAGGCATGTCAAACATTGAACTGACGAGACATTTCAGTGATTAAAATTTCTGAAAGGTAGCAGAGACTTCTAAGAAAAATGGATGTGGACTGCCTTTGAAGAGGATTTCCAGGGGAACTGTAAACAGAGGCCTTAGGAGTTCCTCATTCAGTCTGTGGTTCCTATAAAGCTGAACATTTGATTCTAGCATGACTTTATTCCAGCCATGAAATACATCTTAGTAACGTTTTTCTTACCAGTGGGAATGGCCACGCAGTTGAACAGCTTTGACACTAATACTGCACTAAATCAGTATCCTTTAAGCTTCATAACTCGGGGAAAACTCATCGCCACGCTTTCCAGCAACTCATGCAAGTTAGACTTGTGTTTTGAAAAGAAACGTTCTGAATTTCTATAGAATGAAAAGATAACACATGCTTTTGCAACAATTAACAAATGCAGGCAGGCAACGTGTCGGTAAAGTGAATCCTGAGAATCCCACAGCCACCACAACACGCTGGTGTGTCCTTTGTGGCACCTGGCTGTGGCTTTCAGATCTGCCTTACGTCAATTCGATTGTCCCAACCTTATCAACAGTTGGCAAGTTGGAACAATAAGCCACCAAAATTTGGTTTTTCAAATTCTGTAAACAGAAACATATCTGAAGTTATCTATAAAATGGATGATAATTTAATTTGCATGCGGATAAAGGAAATCAATTTGGACACTGATTTCTTAAGCCTTCAAGTAATTTTCTAGACAAATGACAACCAAAGTAATTATAAATAACTAAAAGCTTCTTTTCATACACTACTCCTCCTAGCAGGAGTTTTCAAGATTTAACCAAGATGTACAACCCACGTGATACAAACCATGCAAACAGATGCAGGGGTTAGGTTTACTTTAACTATTTTAAGGGAAATCTTGAAGACACAGCCAGGAGTTGTTATTGTGTGTCTGTCTTTAGTTAAGAGCTCAAGTTCTACAACATACATGAAAGCCACAGGTCTGTCCTGTGTAGTGGTGGGGCAAGAGTCACCTGAATTCTTGAGCTGATTAGAATGCTTCCATTGTAGTTGCATTTCACAAGCTGTATTCTCTACTATTTTGATAATTAATGAACTGATCAGAACAAGAAGAAATTAGAGCGCTTTAAAATTTTATTATTTCATAAAATTGCAGAAGTGGTTATGAAAAAGACACTAAATCTGGCAGAAAACACCTGCAAGACGTAAGCGTTTTAATAAATTTGCGTGGTTGATATTACAGCACGCAACATTTTCTCATTTTTAACTGATTAGTTTAAAACAATCCATCGGATGGAGGGAGGGGGCGGGATCGAGCCTGAAGAGAATGGTTTTATCTGATTTTGGGTTGGCTGGGGAGCTGAACCAGGGGTAAGTCACAACCGTTCGGAAAGCAGTTGAGTACCCACGTGAACAAAGAGCTTGGATGCAGCAAGCAAAGATCTCCTCGTGCTGTGCCCGTGAACCACAAACGATACAAAACTCAAATGCACACCCATAAACCAGAGCCCGAGCTATGATCTTAAAGATTTCAGAGTCACTGTGCTCCCTTGAGTAAATACATAATTAAGTCGGGTTTTTTTAAGACGTTTAATTGGGCCCCTAGCCCCTCCTCATCCCCCCTGCCTCTCCCCAATTAGGTACCATTTCCCCGAGAGATATGTGGCTCTGTTAATTATGTAAATAAGTCATGCACTATTCCCTGAAAGAACTGTATTTATGGGAAAAATACTGCTCACCTATTGTCAATAAAAATAAATACGAGACCTATGATATTTCATTAAAAATAATTCCAAGATTTTACATTATTGCCTGCAAATACAACAAAAGTGAAGTAAGTAAAATAACTCACTACTGAACTATAATGTTTCTTCTATATCTCAGATAGTCAAGTAGATGTTTAAAAAATAGACAATACATACAAAAGTATAGAAAATAAATTTCATAAGCATACTATTGGCAAACTTACTGAAGCAATATAAACAATGTTGTTAAAATTAATATACTGAGATTACACCCTAACAAAACGCCAAACCAGTTATTTTGGAGAGTTAAAAAGGTATTTTGATTTCCAGATCACAATTGAGTTGATTCGTATCACACCCTACAAATCGTGGTTGAGTAACACTGAGGTATTTGATTAATATCTCAAACTATTACGTATGGTACAACTTCCTTCAATGGACCAAACACCTGCTAAAGGCATCAGACTTTTAAATATGAATATTAAGATGTTCATTACAGTCAACTATAATTTCTATCACGACAGTAAAAAGCAGTTTGGATTATCAAAGTGGGAAGGAAACATGCTTAAGTTCCACAAGTTTCTGAGAAAAATTCTAGCAGGTAGCCCAAATCATGCTCGAGTATTAAAGCAGCAAGACTGGGACACCACTGAATTACAGTCAATTTCTCTTAATAAAGTAGTACTTCTTTTATTTTTACTTCCTCTGTGCATGTCTGTTGGAAATACATTCAAATGTTTGCCAAACTGAAATTCCATGACATAAGAACAGCAAGCTTTGAGTTTAGAAAAAAAGGCACGTTAGTACTGTCAGCACCGAAGCACTGCTATTGTTCATCACCGAGGCCAGAAATCGTGAAAGGCTGAGTCAGCACTAATTACTAGACACTAGTGAGTACAAAACAACAGAGGCAGGTTTTGCTGTGTGGTCTTCATAGCTTACAAGTTACCATTTCACAAATATTCTGAATACTCTAGATATGCCAGTGGAATTACATATCTGACTTTCCACCGTAAGAGCACTTAACAGAATATGAAATTCTTCCATCACAATGGTAATGAAGCTCAAACTTCATACTCCCACAGGAGACTCCACAAACAAATCCAGCGGAAAACAGATCTGTGCAGTATTTATAATTGTTTTGGAACAACATGACACTGATCCATCACACCAATGTTTGTATTTCAGTTTCTAGAGTTTATGACAGAGAAAAATATTTGACAACACAGAGTAACTAAACTGCACACAAGGAGCCAGTTATCCACAACTCCCAGTAATACCAGATGCTCTCAAAATGAATGTAGTCAAGGAATGAATCTGACCTACCAGCCTTGTAGTGAACCTCCTCCGTGTGGAACACAAATGAGTACTTGTGCAGAACTACATCGCTTAGTCCTTTTTTTATCCAGATATTGACCTATTGATGCTTCAGTTTTCCACCCTCAAAACAGGCAGCGGCTTTTCCCACTCTCGTTGGAGCATTTTGAGGACAAAGCATAAATCATGGAATATTCAGCAAGTGCTGTGATGTGTCTTGACAGAATAGACTTTTTTTAAATGCCAAATAACCAATCATTTATACAAAGGATCTCACCATCGACTCTGTAGAGAGATGCCCTAGGTAAACACTTAGCGTGGCAGAGTCCTAATTAACGTGCTGGAGAAGAAGCCAGCAAGGTAAGGCACGCCTAACGGCGTAATTTTGTAATGGCAACAGGAGAAACAGTTCTACCAAACCTGGAACCGTTATGTTTAAGACTAAGAGAAGCATGTTTCTAGATAACCACTTAAAAATAAAACTGATGGCCTACCATAAAGTCTAATTAAAGCTTGAACAAGTAAATGCACACAAGAACTGCCTCAGGCCTCCCACCTTCAGGTCAGGGACCTCCTGGATATGAGAGTAAAGCATCTGGTCCACTTACCTTCCCGTCAAATTTCGAGTACTCATTGAAGGGGTTATTCAGCTGCAGCGGACACTGTTCAAGTCGCACAGACAGTATTGACTGCTTCCCAGAACATGGAGATTTTACTCTGAAATTCTTTTTTTCAAACAGTGAGCTCAGCTCCTCTGCTGTAGATCAGAAAAGAGATTAGAGGAGTTGTACCAGGAGATGTACAGAGGCTACTGTTTACCACAGAAAGGTAACGCAACAAGAGAGAGAACAAAATCAAATACATCAACCAACAAACCCTTCAGCAGGGCAGAATCTACCACCACTTTCATAGCCCAAAGATATGAAACCGTTAAGAAGTTTGCATGATGCTACTGTTTAGGCTGAGGAAAAGAAAGATGAATTTTTCCCATGTAGAGAATGGAACTGATCACTACAAGATCCACTTGAGTCAAGATT